TTTTTCCAATAAGTGAACAAATTTAGATTGTGAATTAATATATAAAAATGTCACAATTAAAATGAATGTGATATAAAAATAATAAAGTATTAGTTGATAAGATTGATAGTTGAGTAATTATAATTGGATGAATAATATTTTCTATTATCATATCTACTATAATAATTATTTTTATTTTTTTAATTGTGCTATTGATATTTTCAGTGAAAAAGAAAGATAAAATAAATCATACCTTTTACGAAATTTTAACGAGATAAATTTGAGATTAATGTTGATTGAACTTTGAACAAATAAACTAAATTCTATATCCAAAAAATTCAATCTTTTATTAACCTTTTTAGCAAATAAAAAAAAGGTAAAAAAAAAATGTGTGGCTTTTGGCCCATGTTCCAAAAAAGCATCCACTTATTATCCAGCCTTTTAACACTGCAAATTATCTGGTGTTGTGGGGTCACCTCTGCATGTGCTACAGCTCCCTTCTCAACAAAACTCCAATTTCCTACTCATCCATCCCTTGTGTTGTGTGTGTGTTTATTTTTTAGTTTTTATTTTTATTATTAATTATTTTGGCCTTTACCCTCCATCCTCTTCGCATTTTGGAATCCTATGGTACAAATTTCTGCAAATCTCGAGTAGACAGTTCATCTTTTTCTTCCAATTTTTTTGCTCAAAAACTTCCTTTTATTTTTGAACTTTTCTCCTCAAGAAAGAAAGTTGCTTTAAGAAGCCATACTGTTTGCAAAATTTCAATCTTTTCCTGCAGTAGGAGAAAAGGAGATAAGAGAAATATCCCACATTACTCGATTTTCTGTTTTCTTCAATAGAATGAAGAAGACCCATTCAGGGCCAAAGATTCAATTTTTTGAATCACTCTTTCACGTTTTGCTACTGTTTCCTGTATTTTGCCCTCTTACACACTCGCAGCCCGGCCCGAATGACGATGCCTCGGCCATGTTTGCGCTCAGGAAAAGCCTCAACCCGCCGGATGGGCTTCTGTGGGCCGACCCGGACCCGTGTAAGTGGGGCCGTGTCTACTGCGTGGAGAACAGGGTCACTCGGATTCAAATCGGGCATCAGAATCTCGCGGGTACGCTCCCGACCGAGCTTTCTTCTCTCACTCAGCTCGAGCGCTTGGAGCTGCAATGGAACAACATTTCCGGGCCTCTCCCGAGTTTAAAGGGTTTGAGTTCTCTTCAAGTTCTAATGCTTAGTCACAATCACTTTACTTTCATCCCTGCTGATTTTTTCTCCGGCATGTCCTCTTTGCAATCCGTTGAGATCGATAATAACCCGTTTTCCGCTTGGGAAATACCGGAGAGCCTCACAAATGCGTCGACCCTTCAGAATTTCTCGGCAAATTCTGCGAACATCACCGGCAAAATCCCGGCATTTTTTGGGCCTGATGCGTTTCCCG